GCTTTTGTCTGACGTTAAGAAGAGAGTGTCTATGAAAGATTGAGGATGAATTTGAAAGGATTAAAGCTAAGTTAATAAGAATATATACATATAAGAAGGATAAGTAGAAAAATATGTTTCTGTTAAGAAAAAGTTATGGAAAGCTACATTAATCAGTTTTTGAAAAACTTCATTACCACCAAAATTCTATTCAATAAAATATTTTATTTAACTCAAAAGAAGGTTTTACGACTTAAATTTTGATATAAATTTTTTGATCTGGTTGGGTTTCATTCGGTTATGATAAAATTGCAATCGCCCAGATCAGCTACATATGTATATATATATATATATCGCCCAGATCAGCTACATATGTATATATATATATATATATTTATACATATGAGCGTAACAGTAAGAGCTTTGGATAAACCACACAGTACCTGCAACAAAAATAAAATTGACGAGTAAAGGCTATTAACCATCTTTAATATTTGAAAATTCAACAATATACATACATATAGTGATTAACATTACTTTCCTTTGATCCTGTTAGTATACTAAATATTTAGCTGTTTTCTCCTTCAAAAATGTTATTTTCAACATTTCTAATGAAAAGGACTTCCCTCTCAATACTTGTTTGCTTTCAAAAGTTCTTTAAAATATATGCTTTTCAAAAGAGACTTAACCGTAAGTACAAGTGCCTATAATAGCAACATAAAATCAGCGAGGCTCTGGCCTGAACATAACAGCTCCAGCCGATTGGAGGCCGATAAAAGTTGTGGAGAGTAACTCGTCAGAATGTCGTCTATAAATCGCCCATTATAGCTACTGCCATCTATCTTTTACGCCAAACAAAACGTATTAGACCATCTGTATAAGACCGGTTCTGTATATATACATATATGTATATGTACATGCATAACGAAGAAATCTACTTTATTGTTTACATAGAAAATTGCAAAGTATTGTACTTCATTTTATTGTATAATTGCCCGGACGCCATTTCCCGAGTAAAGCAGTTCTAAGCCAACTAATCGAACAACTTAATTGGGTAGTTTTCTGATGCGTATAAAAAACTGTCTGTAAGTACGACTATGGCTGCCATAAGCCATGCCGTCACATTTGCAGTTCGGTCTGCCGCATGCAATCAGCAAAACAAAATAACAAATATATCTACATACATATATGTATGTATGCATGTAAGCAAACTCACAAACATATAAATAAATATATGAAAAATTGTGTATGCCAACAGCAACAGCAACTGCAAAAAGTCATAAAAGGGGACAAACCGGCTTCTATTGCAAACAGTGTAGCAACAATAAAATATAAAAGAAAATAAATAAAATAGGCCAGACAGTTGCGGCAAGAGGAGCAGGAATAGTCAGCTATGATAGAAATAAAACAAAATAATGCCGACGGGAAAATCAACTGCACAAACAACAGGCATGTAAAGACGTGCCAACTGAAGGAACGACATCGGCAACAGCGTTTTGCAATCGGCTTCATAAAAGGAGGGGATAATTGCTTGAACCAATGAGTACGAAGCTCCGCCTTTTTGAAAAGATACCGCGACTGTTGCCGACTCCAGTTGCCGATAACGATGACTCGCCCGATGCTGCTTTTTCTGGTTATGGTTGAGCAGCACTAAGCTTGCAGTCATTGCACACGATTGCTTCCATTGCACCAGCGTTGCAATGAAAATAGCATATTTATATGTACCTTGTATATGCATAGGTATGTACATATGTATGTATATACATACATATATATGTGCTGTTTTATGTATGTTCATATTATAATATAAACTACATAAATATGTATGTATGTATAAAAATTTATTATTAACTGTTTACGAAGTAAAAACTACCGTTTTCATAAACTTATCGGAATTTCGAAATGTGAAATTTGCCTTAACAATTTTCCTATATTTGATTGATTGATTGATCGATTTTCAAAAATTGTACAATATTTTGTTTTGAGTTGCTCATAAAATCTTCGCCAATTTTTTGGTTTACAAATGTAGTTTGAAACTCGCTTATCGGTATTTCTATAAATACATTATTATTATATTATATTTTATAATTACTTTATATTGTTCTAAACTGCACTAAAATATATAAAATTGGTGAAAATGGAAATCAGAGATGCTCAACAAACGCAACAATATCATTTCGTTTCGCTAACAAAAAAAATTAACTCAACGAAATGAAGTCGTTAATGTTGAAATCGCACAAAGTCAGCTGCTTTAACAGTAAACTTCAATGTTAAACGTTTAACATTATCGTTAACGATTTAACATTGACCACAGCTTTTCGTTTCGGGCGAAAACGATAATAACTGCTTCAACGTTAATATTTCCCAATGTTTCAACCGAAACAATAGAAATTTGTTGCAGGCTTAATGAAAATACTTTATTTTGTAACTAAACTCAGTACACTTCTATCACTCATGAGACATATTAAACAGAATGAAAAATAAATCTGAACCTTTAAATAGTCTATCAGAGGTAAGATTTTTGTGGCAATGGAATATTCTATACCAAAGTCCACCGGTTAAATTGAAAACGGGAGTGATCAAGGGTCATGGCCTAATCAACGTAGCTACTGAAATATAACGTTCCATTTTCTGTGGTCTTCATCATAAATCTCCCACACAAAATTTCTCCCGAAAACTTCCAGTGCTTACTCATCAGATGTTGTCTTCGTCCATGCTTTCGCATTATTTAACAGAATGAAAATGATGAAGGATTTATGAGTTTAAGTTTGATTTGATGGCAAAAGAGAAGAGAGTTAGAATTCAAGGCTAATAAGGTTTTTGGTTTTAATGCTGATTCCAAGATCGATGAAGTCATCTACGACTTCAAAGTAATGACTATCAACAGTGACGTGATAGCGTATGCAATGACTTGGATTCGTTCACCACCAGACCCTTTCGATGCGCTGTGCGGCTAGTATTATTCTAGCAAAAAATTATATTAAAAACGGCTCGCAGATGTCCGTGCCGATGCTGACGAAGCGTTTAATATCGCTCAGAGTCACACCAGTTAGACATGGTGCTGTACAGGCAGCTCCTTTTCGTGCTATAGAACGCTACGTGTGCTTTTCGAGTTTTGGCGCATGGTGAATGGTTAACTGTAGATTTTCCATGACACAAGCAACACTGACGAGGTCCACTCAGTTCGTTTACGATGCACTTCAAGCATTCATACAATACGCTGGATAATACCTTATATGCGATATTTAGGATATCCCACACGGCTATCCAGTTTACTGTAATAAAATCCATTTAAATAAACTTTTTTCTGGAAATTCTTTTTCTACTCTAAATTTTGAACCTTGGCATTATATGTGAAACCCTACATCATTTAACCGGCTCCCGAATTTTTGCAAATATTGGGCGGTATCTCTACCATAACGAATTGGTTTTCAAGTGCTCAATAGGTAAATGTTTATCCGCATAAACGGTCTTTCACAAAGCCTAACAAGAAAGTCCGGTGTCAAATTACTCGAGTTCGGTGGCCAATTGACATCACGAAGACAAATGATTACTCGGCCGGGAAATTTCTTTCGCAGTGAAGCCATATTCGCTAGTTTGTGCGGAGTGTGGCACCATCTTTTTGAAACCGCATATTGTCCAAGTAGTGTTCTTCAATTGCTAGCCAAGAAAAAAAGACCATGACGAAAGAAATAATATCCAATCACACCTCCGGACTAAATATGCGCCACACAGTAAGTTTTTTTTAGCATTGGCCTCTCTTCAATTATTTGAGGACTCTCGGAGCACCAAATGCGATAATTTTGCTTATTTACAGATACCTTCGAGTGAGAAATGTGTCTCGTCGCTAAAGAGAATTTTTTTCGAAAAATGGCAGTCCAATGATTGTTGCTGAAGCACTCAATCAACGTATGTATGTACGACGTTGTGAATGGTCAGCTGGCTTCAGTCGTTGTATGTGCTGGACTTTACATGGATGTAAGTGTAAGTTCAAGTGCAAAATACCCTATAATATGCCGTAAGAAAGGAAGAGCATTCGGGTAGTCGGCTACGCTTTCACTACAGTAGTGTTATTTGAGGTGCAACCAACAAAACGCTGATGCATGTACAATCGAAATCAAAATTCACTAATCTTACCAAATTCCATGAGTAGTTGGAAAGTTATTGTGCCATAATTTTCTCTTAAAGCACGAAAATATGTTTGATTTGACACGTAAGTTTGACAGATGCCAAGACAGTCCTGCAATTTTAAAATCTCGAAATGCATAACTCTATAAATGACGCATTTTATGGGGTCCCCCTTTTATTGACTGGGCAGACCACATATCCATTTGTCAAGCATGCACTCAGCTAACGAAATTAAAAAAAAGCTGATATATGCACTTTATATCTGAATACCTCAGCCAGTAAATTATCGGTGATAGGGATTTCTTGTTCCGAGTATTATACCTACCGACCAGCAGCTTCGATTTATCGGTATCTTTCTCACATAGTGAATGTTGTGGTCGATTGCAAGGTTGCGCGACAATCGACCGCTCGTGCAACCATTTATTTCGGCCTAGTCAAAAACCAATGAGTTTCGTTGACGGCTGTAAGTAGGAAACTTAAAAAAAACGCCGCAGTTCTGTTATACTCAATTGTTGATGGGAGCTCTGAGAGGGCATGAGTAGATTCTGCAATTATGGCAGACAGCCAAAGGTTCATTAAACGCCACGTGGAAGCCGATATTACATCAACCCCGGCACTATGGTTTAATTTGAGAACACTGTGTGTATATTTTTAACCAAAACCATTCATATCTTCTCGAATGAAATTTATGTTTCAGGCTTCACATAGCGATAGTGAAGTTCTTAATATGGGAAATTTCAAGAGAAATGAAAATGATGCCGATAAAGTAGCTTCGTTCTTACAACTCATTTATTCATTATTATAAACCGATTAAAAATATATGTATTTGTATTCTAGTTTTGAATTGTATTACTTTCTTCTAAAATTCTAATTTGGAAATCTTTTAATTGCAGCGCAAGATGTGTTTTTAGAGCATTGCCAGAAGCTATTAGAGAAATTTCGTTATCCTTGGGAGATGATGCCGTTAATGTATGTGATATTAAAAGATGCTGGAGCTGACATTGAAGAGGCATCAAGGCGTATAGAAGAAGGTAAGTGTCGTTTTCAATTTCCCTCTTTCCTAGTTTTTTAGTTCTAAACTTTTATGTTTATGTTTTTTTTTCAACTTTTTTGTTGTGTAATAAAATGTCAATAATGAAACTATTTTAGGCCAACATGTCGTAAATGAGTACTCCCGTCAACATAATTTGAATATATTTGACGGGGGTGAACTGCGCAGTACGACTCGGCAATGTGGATGATAATTTTTAGCTTAACAACGTAACAAGTTATGATTACAATTCAAGTAAATTAAATTAATTTTTAAAGTTTAACAAAGACGTCACTTTAATCGAATGAAAAGTAGATTAAAACTTATAGTTATAGAGTACTTTCCATACCAAAACCAAATCAAAATCTATGAATGCTATTACTTGAACCAGTTAAATTCTAATCAAGTTTTAAAAAGTCTCTAGATAATCTTGTTTAAAGTAGCAGAAAAATAAAACTTCATTCTTGAAAATGCATTTGGAAAAGTGTTATAAAATAGTGTTTGAAATTAAACTACAATCAACATACTTTTGGGAACAGCTCTTCAATCAACATACCAGATGGACGCATACACACCAATAATTCTGCAATCAACAAACCCAGGCGGATATTTTGAGTTTCTTCAGCAAACAATCCATATCATTTGGGCCGTCTGATGTCTCGATGTTAAACATTTCTGCAATCAACAAACAAAGTACATCCTTACAACACCCAGGCAATGATGTTAAAGGTCATGCCGTCGTATACAGACACACATATAAAAAGGCGCAGTAAATATAATGACTAAGCTGTTGAATTTTTATAAATAAAATATAATTACAATCAGTTTGGTTTTTTTTTCTAATTACGTTGTTTTAATCAATTTAGTTCATGTAAGCCTAGGCACCAGCAAAGCGGAGTTGATTTGCATCATATTTTATGCGAAATCGATCAAATTTTTTTAAACAAAAACAGCGGAAATTATATGAAGTCAATGAGACTATGCTAAATAAAATATACATATATGTTTTTTATAATAAGTTGGCATAATTAAGCAATTTAAGCAATTTAAACTTAATAAACATGCAATAATTTAGTAGTAATAGATAGTAATAGTAAAAACCAATCCATTATAGAAGGCAATGGAAGGCTTTAGTGGTCTGTATCTCTTGCTTCATAAGTGCGATTAGATTACGGTAGATGGCACTAAAAAGTGTTGATCACTTAACTCGGCAGTGTTTCCAAGATGGGCACCAGCAAAGAAAAAAATGCGCTAAATTCTATAATTTTTCTTCGTTAAACTCGAAAACGCTAGTCAAGCAGCTAAACTGTGAACTGTGTTTAGGGTCTTAATACTGTAACAGTCCATAAAGCACAATATTCGTTTCGTCGATTCTGTTCAGGTAGTTTTGATGTAAAAGATGCACCACGGCTTGGAAGGCCATTGTCACAAACGTTGGTAAAATAATCTAAATCGTCGAGCCTGATCGTTATGCGTAAACTGTTTCGATCATTGATTACCCAGAAGCTAATCATTGCTCAAAAAGAAGATTGGAATCGCTTGAAAAACTACTGGAACCATAAAGAAGCTCGATGTAAGGGTGCCACTTGAGAAAAAATCTCATGGTTCGTTTTGTGTATTCGATGGGATTTGGAAGGAGACCTGCACTGTAAGCTGGTAAAATTCTGAATTCGGCCCTGCACTGTCAGCAGTTGGAGCAACTGGAGGAAGCAATCGCCTAGTTTTGGCCAACAGGAGGCGAAGTTGGTTTCATCAGGTCTGGCATTGACCACACACAACATTAGTGACTCGTCAGCAGCTCCGAGAACTTGGTTGGAAGGTTGTTCTGTATCCACCTTATCGTCCGCACCTTGCACCAAGTGATTGCCACCTGCTCCTGTCTACGGCAAATGATTTGGCTGGCAAAGAATTGGCCTAAAGGGAAGGGAAAATCATTTGTACTAATTTTTTACCAATAGGGTTTGGGGTTTCTATTATAGAGGCATAACGGCATCACCTTCAATATGTTATCGATGCATATTTAACATAAATTGAATAATTCTAACCATTGTAAATAAAGCCTTAAATTCCATCGCCACCACCTATTCGCCGAGACGTATGAGTAATTTGCTTATATGCAGTCGTGCATTTTCCATTAACACTACAACTACAAAACGCATTACGTCGCATTTATTGTTATTTTAAGAAACTCACAAGAAAGTAAATCTTGTCAGTCGAATCATGATACCGAAACGGTATTTCAATCAAAAAAAAATTATTCCACTATTGGCTCATTGTGCGAGTTGCGCACTTATCTGATCCACATACACATATGTATATATATACAAACAAACAATTGTAAATAAGTACATGTGTTTTAGTGGACATCTTTAGTTTTTATTTTTGTAATTAATATCCACTATATTTCATCCAGTTTTGATAAAAAAATAACAAAAAATAATAGCATATATCTAATATCTGTGTTATCAAGATAACGGTGTAAATTGAACTATATTTATCTGCACATATGAAATGAATACGAGGAGTCCCTAACTTTTAGAGTTATTTGGTGCTCAGGAGGTAAATTTTTAATGGGGGGGAATAAAAAGTACGTTGAACGGGCCAAAAGAGTAGTTATTGACCGATTGTACCCGCATTCAATACGCGTTCATTTCATTCGTACATATTCCTTTATTTCGTATTAAATTTTATTGAATTCTGTTGATTGTTTCTGAGCTAAAAGTGAGTGATGTTACGACTACCAGACATTTTTTTTATGAATTTCATGTTCTTGGATGAATAATTAGTTGTGCCGTCGTTATATGATAAAGTCGTTCGACTTGGCTGATTATTAATAAACTGCGATTAAATTTCCAAGCTGGTTATGTTTGTTTTATATATTATAGGAATCCTTATTTTCCTCTTAGCGAGTAAATTTTCAGTCGAAGCTAATTCTCTTCAATATACTAATAAGTATTCCATCTTACAATAATAAAAAAAAAATATATGTACAATAGTTTTTCGACCGAAGAGTAATGCAAATTAGTAGAAGAGAAAAGGTTACGGCAACGGTCTTTTTCCTAAGAGTCTTTAAGTCGTTCTTCTGTTATCCAAAAATTATTATTTTCGCCACTCATTTTGAATTTGGCCAAAATAGTGGTTTGTTAATTTCCTTTTTTATACTGGTTAGATCGAAATCAAAGAAGTTTTTCAAAAAAACAATCGCCCCTCAGCCCTTAGAAGCGGCTTAAACGACTCACGCCAAACATATATAATTTGCCTCTTTGTATCCGTGAACTCCTCCTGCTCTAATTGGTGATATATATATAATTCTAAGCCGCCTCCAAACGTTCGATGGATTTTTATGAAAATCTCTTACTACTTTTCAGAAATGCATTCGGAGAGCTTACAATTCCCTTCGTTGGCACAAGTGTATATCTCATGGGGATTATTTTGAAGAGGACAAAATAGATATTCATGAATAAGTAAATAATTTTTGAAAAAACACAAAATTCGTGATACTTTTTGAACACACCTCGTATGCGTAAAAATTGTGCAACGTAACGTGTAACGACTTAGTTCATTTTAAGGAGGCTGGCTTTTTTACTTAACTGAGGCGTTCTATAAAACGACAAAAAAAAGGAATGCGCCTATTAATTTTGTATCTTTAAACTTGAAAACTTTAGGCGAATCGATGGTTTGAGGAGTAAAAAGCTGTCAACAACATAAAAAGTTATTGTACTAATAGTACTAATTATATGATTAACCCAAAATCAATCTATTGTACATTGGTACTAAATATATGTTAATTTGATTTATCTAATTATTTATTTATTTTTTAATTAATTATCATTTTTTACCGAGCAATATGTGGTGGCAAAATACACATTTTTCCTTTCCCTTACCGTATATTATATATGCGAAAATATTTTGGGTTATGCTTATGGGATAAAGCCACTCTAGAGGTTGAAAAATAGACTTATTTCTACCGTTTGATTGTAGGAGTATGGGAAAATAAATAAAAATTCTATTTAACCATTGAACATATATCTTTATATATATAAAACTTCTGTCCGTGTGTTTGTAATTGAAATCCTTCTAAACGGGTGGACCGATTTTGATGAAAAATTTTGTGTGTATTCAAGGGGGCTTGAGGGTGGTTTAGATTCACAATTCGATCAACTAAATAATGTTTTAACAATGAATTTATTTATTTATAAATTCTTGTTAATATTACAACGTTTTACATAGAATTCCGGCAGACGGCACTGCAGTCATGCATGGTACTGCTTTTTAATATTTCATATGTAAATGAAGGTTCATAAAGGACAGTTCAGCTGAACACAAATGTTATTTTTTGGTACATCTTTATTCTTCTCTATTTTATTTATTTTTAAATTTGTTACTGTTTCATATTCTACATAATCCTTCATAAGAATTTCCTAACCCACATAACTATCCCAACCTACAATATTTGTAGATGGTTTTTAGATATCAGAGATACAATTTTAAAGAAATAAAATTATAATTATAACAAATTTGTTTAGTACTGTAAACTTTCACTTCTAGAAGTTATCAACATTGGTTGTTTAGTATTTTTCATAGTAGTAGTTTCGCGGAAGAGCAAAAAATAGTGGTGGACGTTCTCATAATGCCCGAATTGTCCGTAACCACCGAACGAACAGAACAGTGTAAGAGTTCTTTACAACTAATGCCAATGTAAGAGAACAAATAGCAAACTCACGTGGAAGTGAAAGTTCAAAGCAACGTAATCAACGTCCTCGAGCCAATACATTAAGGCAATGAGAGGCACGTCAACAAGTAACTGACGCTCACAGAGCAAATGACCGAGAGCGGATCCAAAATCGTCGAGTATTGACACGAGCATCATTTAATCGGTTGGATATGATCCTGAATAGACTATTCGCTAATTTATGATTGGTAGTATGGACAAAGAATGTCAAGGTTGTCATGCTTTAAAAATAAAAAGGTGAATCGGCCGGTTTAAGTTGCGCATCAGAG